GGGTGGCAGTTTTAATATTAGGGGAGGCTTTAATGATAGGGGGAAGCGATTAAGCTGACATTGATGCTCGTAATAGCCAGTTGTGCTGGCTATGATAGCAATAACAGTACCAGTACAGTAATAATCGTCAAAATCGTAATAAACATAATAAGAAGAAACAAACAAGTCATAAAGGTAATAGCTGATCATAGTCATCCGGAGATGCCTGGCCTGGAAGAACTGTTCGCAGCTAGCGGCTTCTGCCAACGGAGTAGGCCGCGGACGCTGCCTCACGGCAAATCACATGATATGCAGGGTTACTATTACAGTATAGTATACATCATGGCAGAGAATACGAAATTCAAAGTAACGGAGCTGGGTCCAGTGTGTGCTGCTTCAGAAAAAGAAACAGCTTGCTGGCTTGCTGAAACACCGCTACGCATGCCAGTTAACTTTTGTTTCTTTTTCGATTGTTGCCGTCGGATCGCTCACAGGCACATATCCCAAGAATTCCAACAGTACAATGTAAATCATGCACACAGTATTGCAAACCGCCCCATTCAGAGCCACTGTTCTGGACCATGATCGCACACCGCCACTCTGGGACGTGGGCGGTTTCAACCTCAGCCAAAAACTAGCACTGGCACAACACGACTCGGCTTCGGGATGGCTGCAGCTTTCGGCAGGCGGTCCCTAATATCCATCACCAGATGCGACTGCTCCTGAGCAACATGCTTCTTCCTGGAAGAGCTTCGAGCACAAGGTGGCCTTGCAAGGATCCACGGTAAAATGCCGCAGGAAGTCTGTATTATCTTTGGCATGGTCCCGTGCCTATCCAACCTATCTCACACCGGGGGTGCGGTTCAGGTCAATCTCTTGCATTGGCGCCCTAAGGCTCCGTGAAGTTCGCGAAGTTTGACTGCTGGTATGCGATTACACAAGTCTCCTTCTCCCTCGCAGTCTGTCCCTCGCTTGCAGCGTCATAGGATCTGTCCAGCAGGCCGTTGGCAAGCCGCTCGGCATGTCCACAGCTCCGTCTCAGAAAGCAGCAAGTGCAGACGTCCGGTGGAGTTTCAAACAAACGGGCTGACAGCACTGTAGAAAGCAGCGCTAGAAGCAATTGAAACAGGGTTGTTACTGTTAGTGCTTGTACAAATGATCAACAACCACAACTGCCATAACTTTTTTCGTAGACCTCTATATATCATATATGTAGGATAGTGACAAAAAGCGACCTCAAGATCTGGAAAGCTCCAAGCAATAAAGCCCCAAGCCGGCGACGCCTCGCCCAGGTGCTCTCGCCTTGCACCGCCGAGATCCCGAAGCCGGCTCCAGAGGAGAGGCTCCGCCTGCCAACAGGGGGAGCTTCGAGACTCTTCAGATAGGGTTTAGGGTTTAGGGTTTAGGGTTTAGGGTTTAGCTCCGGTTGCAACAGGGGAACTTAGAGAGGGCTCAGGCTCAGGGGCTTCTTTTTTGTTTGCGGCCCCTTTGCCAACTGCCGAGGTAGCCGCAATTCCCCGGTAGGGCTTAGGGTTTAGGGCTCAGGGTTCAGGGTATTGTATATACTAGTAGGGCTTAGGGTTTAGGCAGGGAGGGTGGAGGCTCTGGAGTTCCCGTTGTAGACTTGTGGGAATCTGGAGAGAAAGGAGGGCGGAGAAAGCCGGAGCTCGGATGTTGCTCCAGAAGTGAGGTAAAGGAGGACGTCAACTTCACAACCAACTCATGCTGGATCAGGGCAGCACAAAGGTGTAAAATGTCTGCATAGAAGAGAAGTATAAAAAGACGACTGTCCCCGATTTGACGAATGATAGAGTCTGGGATCAAGTTCGCTTACAGCGCTTTACAGGATCACGGTTCAAACCACAGCAGGCCTGTATCGCGCGGCGGTGTTGCTGCTTCCACGGCCTTTCAGCACTGGTGAATGAGCACTGGCCATCGAGGATCAGCCACGAAGCCCACCGGTTCGCACTATGATGGCTGCCCTAAACCCTATATAACTATATACTATAAACCCTATAAACCCTAAACCGCCCTCCCCACTCCCCACCTTGCACGGACGTCGCTTTCCGGCACTTGGCGGTTGTCTGCCGTCGCTGCCCGGGGTCCTCAGCTTCCAGATTGTCGGGCATTGAGTCTTAGGTCCCTTGCTCCATAAATACGGTTCCCGATGAGCCCGCCTCCTCAACTCCAAAGTGATCTAAACTATGTTCATCACCAGTAGCAGTAGCATCAGCACCAGGAGGCGAATCAGCATCATCAATTGCATTGCCATCACCACCATCATCACCAACAGCGACATCATACCCGGAGCCTTACCAACATCGGTCTCACGGCCCCTTCTGTGATATCTCTCATCGTTGGTCGGCCTCCTTCAGGATCTCGCCCGTGCGGCACGGCAGCATCGCCTGTCAGGTTGCATGGTAGATCCTGCATTCTGTGTCACCTTCTGCGGGCCAGTGTCTAGATAGTAACTGCATGAGCATCCGTATCATGGCGGACATGATTACGACGAGACCGGCAGCTGGGAGGCCAGACACAACATCTGGATACAACATACCTCGCAAGACATCAAGCGCGACTTTGTCAATCCAAACTCGTGCAGAAGACCCCTGAGAATGACACCTTCAGTTCACGAAATGTGGAGTGAACTGTCGGGTTACATAATCGTCTCGCCTGCGGTGCTTGGAAGCAAGTACAGGCTTCCAACATCTTATAAAACAAAGCATCAGGACGAGAACCGCAGCCAGGAAGGCATAAACCAGTGATGCTGCATCATCTTGGACTGGGCAGATGGACCCGAGACCCTGAGGCAGCCTGCGACAAGACGTCCAACTCTGTCAGCAAGTCCTCAGCAATCCAACACGCTTCGGCTTTTCAAACTGCTTTCTGGCCTTCTACCTAAGACCACACTGGACCCAAGCCAGAGTGCAGAATCCTTCAGCTGACTGTCTTTGGGTTGACTGCGGCTTCGTCAACGCAGGCTATGAACACCAGAGCAAGTCGTGCGCCCAGCGACGACTGGATGTTTTCCGAGCTTAGCTGTAGCATGCAGAGGATGCATTGGGCCAGCGCGTGGTCACAATGTAACACTTGAAGAAGCGAAGATGCAAGGCTTTGCATCGTTTCAGGAGTATCTTCGTTTGCAGGATATCGACTGCATGTTGGCCGCAAAGGGCTGCCATGGGGCTCTGGCCGTTTGGACGCACAGCGAACCTGGCCGGTTTTCTTGGCACTTTTTGGGTGCGAATTTCGCAAAGGGGCATAGATTTGGCCAGCATCATGTAGGGTACATGCCACGTCTTGTCCCCTATCTACTGCCCGGAGAAAACGGCAAGCGGCCTGCAGCTTCAGAAACGGGTGTGGCCACAAAATGCCTTGGCGAACCCAGTGGCCTTAGCATCAAAGGCAGAAACCCATCTGCGACACAGGGAGATGCATGCTGAGCGCGAAGCTCCAGCAGTGTGGTGCTGCCCGGTGTAGCCGGGACTGAGGGTTCCCCCTGGACGCTCTCTGCATGGGTCCAGTCCGTCCAAAGTCACTTCCGTGGCTTCTCAAGTCAGATCTGCGATCGAGGCCTCCTGCGATCGCGGCGTCTGCACCTGCGCGGAGGCTGCTCTAAGCTACCCATATACTACGTTTTAGAACTTGTCTCATGACATGGTATGGACTGGCAGGCTGAAGGGGCTTTAAGTTCGTAGGCTCTTGAAGGGAACTGCAGTCCTGCAAATACAAAGCCCGACCGTGCAAACCCCAAGCCCCAGTTCGCCAGCTCGCAACACAAAAGCACCCCGCATGTCAACATGCAGTTGGGGGTATATTGTAGCAAACTAAAACAGGGACTGCAAGGGGATATCATCTGCAAACATGATATACTATGCTACGTTCTGTTACGTTCTTTTGTATTATAAAAAACTATGCGGACCCCTATAGTAAATTCGCCCCTGCCTCGAGCACTCCTAAGGAGGCTCGACCGACAGATGCCGGCGTCAGCGTTTCCACCTCAGACCGAGGCAGGTTCAGGGTTTAGGGTCCTGCTTCGAGGGTTTAGGGTTTAGGTTTGTCGTTGTTTTTTTAAATGCACTAGCCCTTTCTCCCGCATGTCGTTTGAGGGCTTAGGGCTGCCTTGAGGGGTTTAGGATTTAAGATGTTTCCGGCATGCTTGAAGCTCGGGCTGGATGTTTGGGGGTCCGAGCATCTGGTTGAGCCAAGTGGACGGAGACATCTAGATAGCTTTTCAGAAGCTCAACTCCACGTCCTGAGCATCCAGATCAAGAGGAGTCTTCTGGGCTTGAGAGCCCAGATGGGGCCAGGAAGTCGCCTCGCCGGGCAATATCCCAGCAAAAACAAACATTGTTCTAGGTATGCGATGCTGAAACTGAAAGTGGTAATGTTCACTGGTACAAGGCAGTAGCAGTAGCAGTACCAGTAGTAGTAGTAGTAGTAGTAGTAGTAGTAGTAGTAGTAGCAGTAGTAGTATTCGTAGTCTTCATAGTCGTAGTCGTAGTCGTAGTCGTAGTCGTAGTCGCAGTCGTAGTGGTAGTAGTA